CCCCCTCCCCCCGAGTTCTGTGGACAGTATGCGAGAGCTACCGAGGAGTGAACGACCTCGGTCAAAGAAGTTAGTTCGAATTGGGACTCTGAACGTGGGTTCGCTTACTGGAAAGTCCCGAGAAGTCGCCGATCTAATGAAGCGCAGGGACATTCAAGTCTTATGTCTTCAGGAGACTCGCTGAAAGGGCGAAAAGGCCATGGAAATTGGAGAGGGTGTCAAACCCTTCTACAACGGAGAAGGCACTAAATAAAATGGTGTGGCTATAGCAGTGGCAGAATCCCTCAAAGACGCTGTCTCGTCTCCGCCGTCAACAGGATCAGCAGTCGAATCATGGCTGTGAGGGTAGACATGAAGTAGGGGTACTGGGCAATAATATCTGTGTAAGCCCCACAGGTCGGCGGCCCGTCTACGAAAAGGATCAATTCTATCTGAGCCTTGACGAGGCCATCCGATCAGTTCCGGAGGAGAACTATTTCACCATAGGAGGTGATCTGAATGGGCACTTCGGCAGTTAAAGGAGGGGACTGGGAAGGGCACATGGAGGTAGAGGAGTGGGAAACAGGAAGGTAGAAGGAGAGGTTGGTCTTTGCCTTGGTTAGAGCTCGCGACTTGGCAGCCAGCAACACCTTCGCGAAGAGGAACTCTCAGAAGGTAACCTACAGCAGTGAGGAGAAAGAAACGGAAATAGATCATGTGGTAGTAAGAAGATGTCCCTTAAACCTGTGAAGGATAACTAGTTACTGCCTGGAGAAGATCTGACACCACAGACATAGTCATCGATCTTCTCAAGAAAACAAGGAAAAGAACGAAGGATCGGTGGTCGAAGTTGCAGCAATTCTAAAGCGAACACCTCAAAGAGGAGGTACTGGAAGATGTGCTTCCAAACCTCAAAGGGCCGACCCAGCAGACTTGAAACGCTGTTAAGGTCATCCTGCGATGTGCAAAGGAAACGCTGGGGGAAACCCGAGGTTGTTTCTAAGAGGACAAGGAAGCATGGTCCTGGAATGATGAAGCCCAACGAGTTGTGATGCAGAAGAAATCGCCTACAAACGCTATCAAATGACAGGAGCCCTGAGGACCTGGCTGCCTATAGAACTTCCAGGAGGCTCGCCAAGGCTGCTGTAGCGAAGGTAAAGAACACGGAAATGGACGCCTCGTATGAGAAAACTACAGTCGAGAAGGAGAGAAGATCGTCTTTCGCTGACGAAAGCACCGCGCCACTCAGGACATCGGGGTAGTGAATCCGTTAGGATTAACGAGGGTGCCATCATGAGGAAGCCTGTTGAAGTCATGCGCATGTGTAAAGATTTGTGAGGCACTCTTAATGAAGAATTCGCCCAAAAGAACAGCTCCAAATTGGAGGCAACGGCTGACCCCATCAGTCTCTGGGCAGAGAATGAGGTGCGTAGAGCGATGGGAAAGATGAAGGTCGGGAAGGCAACCGGTCCGGATGGAGTACCGATCAAGGCATGGAAGGCGCTCAGAGAGCACACGATAAAGTGGTTGATCCGATTTCTGAACACTGTGACCGCTGAAGGAAGAATCCCAGGTGCGTGATCCTCAAGTAGAAGGGGGAGCGATGGAGTGCTCCAACTATCGCAGGATCAGGTTTGCTGGGGAGACAGAACATTCACCCAGAACTGTATGGACGCGGCAAATGGCGCGGCGAGATTCGTGGCGTTTAAGACGAATTTGGCTCCTAACAATGGGGCGCAAACTCGAAATAGAGTACATTAGCAGGGTCAGATGGTCGTACTAATCGACTCTACTTCAAATTTTGCCCCTAATGATAGACGCCAGAATCGTTTGAATCACCACGTTTTTCGCCGCGCGATTTGCCGCGTCCATCCAGTTCTGGGTGAATGTACCCATACCCGGTTTGCTACTCACACGATGGAACTGTCCGAGCGGCTGGTCGACTCAAGATTGAGAGAATTGGTCCCATTTTCGCAGGAGCGGTTCGGTTTCATGCTCGAAAGGTCTACAACGGATGCCATCTTCACAAAGCAAATTATGGAGAAGTATCGAGAAAAGCGTAGTTTATTCTACCTGGCCTTCCTCGATCTGGAGAAGGCCTTCGACCGTCTCCGGTGGCAAGCCCTCTAAAGAAGGCTCCGAATGGTTCCAGAACACCTGATCTCTCTGGTGAAGGACATGTACGATAGCTCCTCCACAACGAAATGGGGCAGTAGATGTCAGCAGGGGTTGGGATACAACAGGGATTAGCTCTAAACCCAGTCCCCTTCCCGCTCACGATGGACGTCATCACAGAAGAACTCATGGATAGACCCCTAAGACCATCCTCTACGCTGGTGACATCGCTCTGATAACGGAGAGCCAGGAAGAACTCCAGGACAAACTCCATAAATGGCAGAGGGTGTCGGCGGGAATGGACTCCGGCGAATGTGAAGAAGACCAAGTTCCTTCGAGGAGGGCACGGAGTCAATCGTCACGGGAGAGCCATCGGAAAAGTCCAGGACTTCCAATCCTGAGGAGCGACCTAACCGCTGACGGTAACGTGGACCAAGCCGTAAAATCCCGAGTAAACGCGGCATGGATGGAGTGGAGGGACAACACCTGTGTCTCTGCGACCGTCGGTGCTCCAGGACTATCGAAGGAAAGGTGTATCGGACAGCGGTAGCAAATAGCCCCAGTTCAACTAAAGTTGAGCGAGCAGCGCCTGCCATTGTTCGGGCATGTACTAAGAAGGCCACAGAGCCACCCGATAAAGGAGGCAGTGGAGTTCTAGGCTCAGGGTAATCGACCACGAGGAACTCTAAATAAGAGATGGCGGGACGTGATCAAGAAGGACCTCGTCGAAGCTAAGGTGACGGCCGAAGATGCCGTAGATGGAATGAAAGGAGACGGCTGACAAGAACAGCGAACCCGGCGACGGCGCGGTATTAACGCTAGGGGAAGCAGAAGAAGTGTGGCAGGACTTGTCCCTGAAACCTGTATGCCTGCTTTGCCACATTCAGCACTCATTGAGCCGAGAAACTGACGAATCACTCCCAGTTGTCTCGACTGAGACTGCAATTACCGTATTCGGCCCGCCTCCCCGCCAATCGATAGATCCTTTTGGTTTTTCTTTTTTAGGTTGTTATATTTTTTCTGGTTTTTTTTCTCGCTGTTTTCGTGTTTGTGTCTAATAAATAAATAATGGTTTCATATGAAAGTAAGGTCTTGTAAAAACAAACAAACTAATGTCCAGCTATCCTTCCCAAATCTGACTGGCACATGCGCGCACACGCTAATCAGGTCGCTCTGTTGTAGAAGGGTTGGTGCCCCAAAAGAGCGAATTAAAAAATGAATTGTCTCTAATAGACGGTCATTGGTAAGTACTAGAGCACAGAATGTTTTTCCCCGTAAGGTTCATTTCTATGCGTCTTGGCAACAGATTATTAATAGTTAAAACGTACTACTTTGTTTCAGATGGAAGAGGATAAGAACGGAACGAATGTTTGCTTCCATATGATCTATTCTCTCAGAGATATGTCAATATGCCTTTTAGATATGACATTATTAGGTTCTGAAAAAGCGGCCCTTGCAACGGTAAGGTCCACGTTTTCTGTCCTGTCTTTTCTTTAACTGTTTCTCCTTCTATTTTTGGCAATAATATGCAGTGTGGTATACTTGCATTATTACCAGTGTCATTAGTGTGTTATGCATAATGTCAGAGTGAGCAATGTTGTGGAGCTTTGAAGAGCGAGGAAAGTTTAAAGACGACTATAAAATTCGTAACTGAAGAAAAATGGCAGAGACCGTGAAGTTGTGTAGGCTAAGGTACAAATCAGGCGAAATGGTAGACCAATAAGTACTCTGGTAGACGGTTGTACGTGATTAAACGCATTGCTGTGTTAAACGCGGAGTTTTCTGAAGCGTTGGGATCGGGGCTTCAGACATTGAGGTTTTTTGAAAGAAAAGGAATCTCCCGATGACTTATTCTTGATGCACTGTGGCTGGGCTTCCGAAGAGCTTTTGATGCGTGATGGTGATGGTGCCTGATCGTCATACGATCTTATTTCGAGACTTTCTATTCTCCTACATTCGACTTTCACTCAGAATGGTAGCGGTGTGTACATGGGTATAGGCTTACAGTGACTTGCTGTTGCCAGTCGATGTATAAGTCTGTGCATAAATTATCCCAGAAGAGTCTGGTACAAACTAACCGACCTGGAAGGATGGAATGGCCTGGGTAAGTACCAAACTGGTACTAAATTTTCGGACCATGCAACCTGATATTGCGTCATTTGTCACTACAACTCCGGAGGTTGACCTTACAGGGGTATGACCTATATGCTGTTCATTTGATGACAGAGCTCCTTGACACTGACGTAGATAAACTTCAGAATCAGAACTTGATGCTAGCTCACCGCATTCCGCGCCTGCCTTGGCATAATACACTTCCAGGAACAGCCTTTTTCAGACAGCCTTTAGACTTGGCTCAGGAAAAACTTGCAGTCACCAGGATCATCGAAATCTTGTGGAGATCGGCTGTACGTGTATCGGCAGCGATGCTCGTGGTTGCATTAGTACGATCCAAAAGGTAATAAACCATGCCCAAGAATGGAAGTTCAGTCCCATATTTGAAGTTTTTGGAATTCACAAAAAACCACTTCATAAATGTGAACGATTGAAGTACAAAAACTTCACCGTCGTTTTTTCAGGCTTTTTGGAGAGACTATGGAGAAGTGTTACCCGAAAGTTGCTTACGCTACGCGACGGACAATTTCCAATTACGCATAGACACAATTCGAACCACTGCCACTGCTATGTCAACAGCAACAACTACTACAACGGCAACAACAACGTCAAAAACAACAACAACAACAACTACGACATCGACAACGACGACGACGACGACGACGACGACGACGACGACTATGACAACGACGACTCCGACAACAACGACGCCAACAGCTACTACCATTCCGACAACCGCACGTACGACGACTAAGACTTCGACGACTTCTGCAGAACCATCTACGGCTCTAACAACGACGACAACTCTGACTTCGACGGAGTTAACGACGACACAAATTCCATTATTAGCGACAACAACTACGACGGAGGAGCCTACAACTACTACGGCGACCGCAAATACGACGACGTCCACGACCAGTGAAGCTGCCGCTATCTCTACACAAGCAACGACAACAGCTCCAGAATCGACAACTTTATCGACGATAACGAAAGGTAAGGGGTTTCATTAGTAATTTCTTTCAACTTCAGGAGGAGATCCTTTCATTCCAGGGTTAAATGAGACGGTCCCCGTAATCGGTCTACCGACACTAGAGGTTGGTTATATTTGTTTACCCTTTGTCAAAGTTTGTGCGAAAATCGCTCTATCCAGGGGTAGCAGCGATAGTGAGGAGAAAAAATAATCGGCAGCCTGATGCTTGTTGAGTGCCTTTGCTCCGCGGCAATACATGATGCAAAAGTCTCACGATCTACGGGCGGCCCGGACGGAAGTTGAACCTGTACCTGTACTTTACGGGTAGTGCGCTACATCCCTTACATTACCGAGATCTGTTTCATTCACGAAGGGTTTCATGCCATAGCACGTTTACAGCACGTCTACAATCAGTAGCCGCAAAGGCGTTCCGGGGCAAGGACTATAAACGGGCCAGTTGAAAGGCACAGTCCACCATAATTTTGGGGTATAGTATAGGACGAATAATGGAAGTAATAGCCCAGAATAGTCTTAAAAACCGAAGAGAACGCAAAATTCGGCGTGTTTAGAGGGCTAGAAAGCTTCCAAAAAAAGTAAAATCAGGGGATGGCCGAGGGTGTGACGGCGGAAGTTGCATGGAAAGTGTATTTGGACGAGCTGTTTAGATGCGTGGGTCACTGCATATAGTTGGCTACAGCAAGGTGCCTGCGTGTAAGGTGAGGGTCCCGATGCGAATGGTGCAACCACACGCCCGCCTTTGGTGTGTACGTCGGCAAAGCCTGTTGTGGAGGGGGGGGGGGGCTTACTACGCCCTGGTTTGGCCGGTTTCCGACCCGATAGCTAGGCTTGGGCTAACCTTGGAGGTCACGGGTTCATTCAAGGAAAAATTCCAGAAACCGTTTTTAAAATGGACGGCGGCTTCAAATAATCAACTGGGCACATCGAGTCTACTGCATAGCTTTCGCGTACCCTCTACGCTCAACGAACATCTGTGTGCAGTCGCGGCCATAGTCAGCGAGCGTAGCGTATACTTTTGGGCAAGACGCCAATCATTCGTTTTTTGTGAGTGGGAGATGTGCTAGGCACCTATGCAAGAGAATGCCACATAAGTTGTCGCCACTACCACGAAAAATTTATAACTTGAATTAAAGTAATCGCCATAAGCTCATACTCCCTCGAAACTTAGAAGTAATCGTTCCTGAGATTGGGAAAGATTATTTCGATACAGGTGATGCTTGGGCGACATTTCTGGTCTTAGATCTCTTTGATCTCAGATAAATGTCACGAAGCTATTTGTGTGAATAGCTTTGCAAAGGCAAGACAAAGACAACAAACCTCGGGAGTACTTGATGACATACACTCCCAGGGTCGTTTCGCGATTCAAAATGGCCCTTTGGTCTTTATGGGAGCGATACACCAACTTTACCCTAAAATTCCATAGATAAGAGCGGGTGAACATTCCGGTGAAAAAAGAATTGGAAAAAATCGAAATTGAATGCAGTCACCACTCTAAC